CATGCTTGCTCGAGCGAGCTTTTCTTCGCTCGATCAAACTGCGCGATTTTCAGAAATTCTGGGAGCTTATTTTCTATGCTCGAGCCAAGCTTCCTTTGTTCGAGCGACCAAGTCGCTAACAGACATTATAAAGTGACTTTTTGGCCCCAAAACCTTACTTTTTCATCCTCTCTTCTTCTCCCCTCCTCTATGTCCGAAAACCTAGCCCTCAAAACTTTGATTTCATCCTTTCTTACCAACCATCCACCATGGATCTTGCATCAAAGATGAAAAACAAAAGAAGATCAACATTTTCAACCGATTAGATTTTGGATTTTCGAAAGAACGCTCTTGATCTAGCTTTCTTAGCTTCCAATCTTGAGGTAGGGATACTTTTACCCTAATATTTCTTTATTTGAGGAGATTTCATGGTATTGTTGTGACCTATGAGCTAATTTGAGGATATTGTTGGATTAAACCTGTGTTTTACATAAATGGACCATTTTTCTTGATTTTTGCTTGAAATTTCTTAACTCTTTTTTTTAAAACATGTATATAAATGTTGTTAGAACCTATAGCTATGATGAAGGAGAAAAACCTCCAAATTTAGTAAAACCCTAAATTCTCAATTTGAGTAGAAAACACAAGATTTAATGGGATTTCTTTTGATTCATGGAATATTGTGAATAATAAAGAGATGAAAGATGTGAATGTGGATACGATAAAGGAATTGTGACTTGAATGTTATTATTCTTTGAATATTATGTGATGTTTCATCTATTGTGATGGTGGATGCTTGTTGATGGAATTAAAATGTGATAGAATGGTTAATTGTGCATGAGTCCGAGTAACAGTCGATTTTCGAAAATGTGGTGTTGTGTCGGTACCCGCATGCGAGGAGGTTAAAAGGTGCCCAAATGCCCTGTCTAGGCTTATCGCTGGACGAATGTGGGAAATATGTTTTTTGGTATCCACACAGTCCCGCCGTATAATAGCCGGCAAAAGTAGAAAAACGGATGGTTTTCTTGAGGAGCCCACTTCCCGCCGTATAATAGCCGGCAAATGTGGGGATGGTTTTTGAAACTAAAGCAACTTGTGTTGGACTCTTACATGGGACTCATGGTTTGTTTTCTATTGATGTGATTGTTTAAATGTTGTATTGTAAAGGTGTGAAATGTAATTGTCCATGCTTAATCGTTATGTAATTACATAATTGGGGAAGATTACATATGTTCATAAATCCTTATTATGTATTGTCTCAAAGATGCCATAAATTTATTCGAATGATTAAATACTTGGTTAAATATATTCTTACTGGGCATATAGCTCAACCCTATTTTATTTTTCAGGAAATAATGTTGTACAACTACAGTGGTGACTTGAAGTAAGCGGTGTTACGATTGACAATTGAGAATATTTTGCTATAAAGACTTAGAATTTTGTACTAGGACTGTTAGACTTATTTTGTTGTTGCTTGTACACCCATGGGGTTCTTCTTTTATAATTGTTATCTTGTTTGTAGAACGTGGGATTGGGTACGAGGTTTTATGGTCATGTAAACATGGTAATTGTAAATTTAAATTTTAATTCTGTGAACAGGATGGCTTTTGGAATAAATTGTTACATTGGTTGTGATGGATTCATGTATGAAATGGCAGGTCTTTACATAAATTTTTGTCAAATGTGTTATTATTTTCAAAATGTGAATGAGACATTTGTGCAATATTGTCTTATTAAAGTTTTGTTGAATGTGACAATGAGACATCATTATAACATGTGCATTATTGTTTTATTACATTTTTTAACATGAGTATGCTTCATTTGGAAGATTTTAATGTGAGATAGGATTTATGGGTTTATAAGAATATTTATGGAACTAAATGGTTCATAAGATATAAATATAGGATTAATTAGTAAAAATAGCTTCTATTTGCACCCCAAAAAAGTAGGTTGGGCATCCTAATTTAATGGTATTTTTTTTATTACTATTAAAGTCCTTATTTAAAATGCCCAAAAAGTACTTGACTTTGGAAAAACTGTAAATAAAAGTGTTTTTGACACCCCATTCATTATCAACCCCAATATTCCTTTTCTCTCTTCTCTTCCTACTTCCATCACTTTGCATCGTCATACCCAACCCTATTTGCTTTAATCCATCATTTTTGCATTCTATTTCATATTGAAATCAGCAATGGACAATAAAGAAGGTGTTTCCAACCAATTTTCTATGGAGAAAGTAAGTTTTAATTGTTGTTCATTATTTTTCGTAGGTTGGTTTTCTGAATTGATTCGGCCCTGAGTATTCAAACAAACTTCACATGTTTGGAATTAAGTATATGGATAAATATATTTTGTTTGGCACTGAGTATCCATATGAAACAACTGGAACCTTGTGTTCAGCATTAGTATCCAAACAAATCTCATATGTTTGGAATTAAGTATTTGGACAAATATATTTTGTTCGGCACTAAGAATCCATATGAAACAATTGGAACCAATTTTCTATGGTTTGGACCTGAGTATCCGAACAAACTTCACATGTTTGGAATTAAGTATTTAGGCAAATATATTTTGTTCGGCATTGAATATCCATATGAAATAAGTGAAACCATCAACATGTCATGATCAATAAGTAAAATCTAAATATTGTTTTGGTAAACTAATAAAAATCACAAAATATGAGGGGGAGGGAAACACAACACAATAAACAAACGAAACGATATAAACCATAAATTCAATATATGTGTTAATGGATTACATTGTCCAAACCCCAAATTCTCCTTATGAACAAAATGACAAAACATGTCTAAAATGAGCTCCATCACTGTTCAACCAAATAAAGTCAACAAAACCAAAAAACTAGTCTAAAATATTAATTTCATGTCCAAAAGCCATAAAAGAAGTCTGCAAGTCACAATTTCATGTCCAAAAATAACAACTTTAGCTCGCGAAACGGAAAAAAAACACCATCTTTTGTGGAGTATTTAGAAGCAAAACTACGTGCCTACATCTTCAACTTCGGGGTGATCGCTTGGAAGAACGAGGACTTGAATTTTTTGATCAATTCTCGAACATCTCACCAAAAGAACAAAAACAAAGAAAGTGGGAGGAGTAGCGGTTTGGTTTGATGGACGATAATCAGAGATACTGAGACGATAATCGGAGAGAGAGAGAGAGAGAGAAATTATTGGAAATAGGTAGCCACCAGTGGATGTAGGAGTATTGGTTTGATTTGATGGATAGATTGTGTAAAGGAGAAGAGACCCTCTTCATTTCGGATGAACTCAGAATCCATCTTCGTCGCTTGGAATTCCAAAGACCCCAACTGTGGTTTTTATTCCCCTGTTTATTGGTAATAGGGTGTACAAAGTAGATTTGTATAGAATTTTAGGATTTTTAGGGTTAAGATAGATATTATTTGGGGTATCCATACAAATAAATAACATTTCAAATTTATTATTGGGGTGCTTAAAGTAACGGGGTGCCCAACCTACTTTTTGGGATGCAAACAGAAGTTCCCATTAGTAAATGCCCCAATTAAAAAGACACCCTTGAGGTTTGTTTCAAATACGGATCGGCTCTTATAGTTTGAAAAATTACAAATACCCATTATTAGAATTTTTATTTAACAAAATTAATTAAAAAAATAAAATTTCTAACTGCTTTTCTATACAACAATAAAATTACCTTAATTATTAATTGAAATAACTTTTTGACAACATTAAAAGTTGCTAATTGACTTGATGATTTATTAACAAAATGGGTTATTTGTTATGAAATTACAAACTTCAAGTAGTAAGACATAATTTCCAAAACTACAAGGAGCAATTCATACTTTAGACAAACCTCAAGAGGTATATTTGTGATTTACTCTTATTTTTACTATCTTGTTAATAAGCAAACACAATTATTTCATGGGTTATTTAGATGAAGACCCCCTAAACTATTGAGAAGTATCACTTTAACTCTATAAACTATGAAAGCATATAAATGGATCTCTTAAACTATTGAGAAGTTTCAGTTTGCCTCCATAAACTATAAAATCGTACAAAGGGACCCCCTAAACTATTGAGAAGTATTGCTTTACCCCTAAACAATGAAACATATAAATTAGACCGCTTAATGGAAAGGGTCAAAATAAAACAAGCCAATAGTTTAAGGGGCCAACTTGTACGTTTTTATAGCTTCGAGGGTAAAGCAATATTTTTCAATAGTTTAAAGGGTCTAATTGTACGTTTTTATAGTTCAAATGGTCAAAGTAATACTTTTCAATAGTTGAAGAGATCTCTATGTAAATAACCCTTATTACATTGGTTTTCTAACCTAAATGAACAGCCACAACCATTAAATTTATTTATTTATTTTCTTGCTTCATGATCCAAATAGAGTGTGTATGTTTTGGTCATATTCATTTTTGTAATTGAATTAAGTTTTAAAAAAAAATTATATCTTAAAAAGAAAAAAAAAACAAAGAAGTATGTTTTTTGGGGGGTAAATTTCAAATACACCCCCATGAGGTTTACTTAAAATACAGATTACTGTGGTTTAAAAAATTACAAATACCTCCTTATTAGAATTTTTTGTTTAACAGAATTAACTAAAAAAATGAAATTTATAATTACTTTCTTATACAATAATAAAATTACCTAAATTATTAATTGAAACATATTTTTAACATTATTAAAAACTATTAATTGACTTGATAATTTATTAATAAAAATGACGATTTGTTATGAAATTAAAAACTTTAGGAATGGAATGTAATTTTTAAAACTACAGGGGCGATTCGTATTTTAATCAAACTTTAGAGGTGTATTTGTAATTTACCCTTTTTTGGGGGTGAATACAAAGAAATATGTTATTTCACATATTTGACATAAATAAAATCCTTAGGTTGCACACTTTGGCTGGCGCCTCCTTGTGCTGTTCAAAATTTTTCCGACATTTTTTAGTCTCTTAAAACGCCGTTAAAATACTTAGTACAAAAAATCCGCCGTTACAAAATTAACCCCCCGAAAAAACGCCGTTAACACTTAACTGGTGAAGCTAATTATTTTCTGTGAACTCTAGTTACCCTAAACCCAGCACATTCAAAACTCTCTCTCTCTCTCTCTCTCTCTCTCTAAAATTGACATTCTCGCTCATTGGAGTCGCCTGTGAAAAGCACTGAGCAGAGGTATGTGGTTAATTTTGATGTTTTGGATCCAAATATTCATGCAGATTTTTTTTTTTTAACTTGCGAAACTTGAATTTGTTCTGTGATTTGTTTTGTTTTGGTTTGGTTTGGTTTGGTTGCAATAGCTTTCAATCTAGGGTTCGTGCATGTGGCTGTGATCTAAGGTTGAGGGGACCATAGATTTGTGTATCTGGGCAAACCTAGGAATGTGTTACCAGAAAAAGCTCAAGGCAGTGTTTGATTCTTGGATTTTGGGTAGTGATTTGGAAACAGAAAGGGAAAAAGTGTGAAATCTAGTTATATTTCACTTAACTTTTCTCATTTCATTTCCAAATCTTTACCTAAATCTATAATCCAAACATAGCACAAGTGGCAAATGGTTTTGCTAGGAGTTCCCTTAAAAAAGTTCAAAATTTCTTCAAATTTTTTTGGTTGTTTTCAGTTTAGCCTCAGTTTGGATGACCAGGATCTTGAGGGGAATGGGAATATGATTATGAGTCCAATGATTCCACAGCTTGGAATAAGAAAATAATTCTTGTTTATTTCTATCTACTCAATTTAGAATAACTTTTCCAAGCTAGGCAAGAATCTGATCTCCACACACCTAGGGAATCTCAAATTTCAGCTCAATCCAGAAACAAAGGAAGGGGTGGGTTTAATAAATTTCCTACTACATCTTACACTTTTGTTCTACACACACCACACAAGTCTCACATAGAGACATTTGGGGCTTTGGGTATCTGATTCCCCTGTTTTTGAAGTTCTTGTTTTTAGATTTGTTGAATCTAGTGCAAGTGTTAGGTTCTGTTTGGAGGTTGCGGTTCAGGGTGAGCATAAACCCATTTGTATGTGGAGAAGGTTTGGAGTTCCCTAGTGAAAACCCTTTAAAGAGTTACTGTAAAGGTTTTGTGCGTCCCTAGTGGAAACCCATTTGATTTGTCAAACTACTATAAATCCTTATGTTCATTCTCTTTACATTTCATGCACTTTATCCTTTCTATGCCTATGTCAAATGCGTATGTCAAGTGTATGACATGAATGCTTGGATGATTGTTTTACGTTAGTCTTGAAAAAGCATATAAGTTTAATCTAAAAACTAGATATTAGCGTATGAATTGGTAACTTGGTGAGGAAAAACTTAAAAGAAGATTTATTAATCTCACCTAAAATTTGAGAAATTGATTTAGATTGAATGAACCAATTGAAATGAAGGTTGTATTGATAAAAAGAAGAAGAAGAAGACTGTCAACCAAGTCAACCAGTTATTAAGTTGGTCAACAAGACCCTACTTTTAGTTGACTGTATAGAGATTGAAAGGACATAACCTTGAATAAGTTGACAAAATTGGCTATCTAACTACTAGATATTAGCTTATGAATTGGTAACTTGGTGTGGAAAAACTTAAAAGAAGATTTATTAATCTCACTCAAAATTTGAGAAATTGATTTAGATTGAATGAACCAAATTGAAATGAAGGTTGTATTGATTAAAAAAAAAAAGGAGAAAAAATAAGAAGAAGACTGTCAACCAAGTCAACCAGATATTAAGTTGGTCAACAAGACCCTACTTTTAGTTGACTGTATAGAGATTGAAAGGACATAACCTTGAACAAGTTGACAAAATTGGCTTACTTGTATTGTCTCCTATATAGCACTCCTCTAGGACACTTTTAACCTCCGGGCTATGTTTTGATGGCCCAAATCTAGAGGGGAATGAGGATCTCATTACTCGGAATCCAATACTAGTAATATAATTTATGAGGTAATCCATTCAAGTGTGTGGAATCTGGTTGAGTTTTCAGAATCTATTTTCTGAAAAAATTTCGAAAACTAGTTTGGTGAAAAACTAAAAAATGAAAAACACTAAAGGCCTATTTGGTAGCATTATTTTTATAGTTTTTTTGTTTGTTTATATTTACAAAAAATATTGAAATCTATAACCAAAAACTCGTATGATGTCTATTTTTATTTTAAAAAACTTGTAATCTATATACAAAATTTACTAAATTCTTGTAACCACAATATTTACTAAACATGTTCCTTTGTTTTAGTTTTTACCAAAAATAAATATAAACATGTTTATTGTTTCCTGTGAACACAAAACAGAAAACTGTAAACATTATGAAACATCTCATTATTTTTATATGATTTTCTCTTTTTGGGGGCAGAAATAATTTTGAAAATTCAAAAATAACTTTTTTGTGTTTATTTTTGTCAAAGTAGTTTCTATGTACAAAAAAAAAAAGAGGAGTTTTCAAAACTCAACCAAAAAGAGCATGAATTCCTTCTTGATATTAGTTGAGAGTGTGAAATTAGATTTTTGCTTAGTTTGGGAAAGTTTGAGTAGGTAATTAAGGATCACTTTCCTATTTCAATTCCCTCACCAAAATTCTTGCCATAAAGGCTGATTTATCAAGAATATGCAAGAAAAGCATTTCAAAAGATTACGTGTTTTTTAGTACATGTAGCTATAGGGTTTGCTAAGCCATATACACTTGATAATATAGAAACCCTTACACTCTCTTTCTATATATTGCAATCTCTCTGTCTTTCTCTTTGTACCATGTGATGAGCAAAGAGTGTTTTGAACAATGGAAAGGTTAAACCAAACACTTGAATATATTTTTTTTTATTTTTCACGGAAAAGATTTTGGAATTGTCCAACCCCAAGGAGCTGGCTAAGCAGTAAAGACTTGAGGATAAGATCTAAGGTCTCGAGTTCGAGTCACTCCAAGGGGTCACCTGGAAGTTTACTCAATTGTTCACTTCAGGGCCCTGGGATTAGTCGAGGTGCACACAAGCTGGCTCGAACTCTCAATTATTAAAAAAAAAAAAGATTTTGTTATTATCTAAACACTTGAATGAGATTGTTTCAGGCATTAGATTATTGGGTATTGGATTCCCAATAACAAGATTCCACTATCTTCCTTCTTAATTTAGGGCATCCAAACATAGTATGAAGTTAACTAAAGAAGCATAATGATTTTTTCATAAGATATTGTATGGTTGGCTTTTTGAGAATTACCTTCCTATATTTTTATGTTATGTCTGGATCTTGATTTTGTAGAGGGAAAAAGATAGGTAGCTACAGGGTTTGCTAAGCCATACACACTTGATAAATAGAAACCTTTACACTCTCTTTCTTTCTATTATAGTCTCTCCCTCTTTCTCTTTCTACCGTGTGATGAACAAAGAGTGTTTTGGACAATGAAAAGGTTAAACCAAACACTTGAATCTATTTTATTTTGTTTTTCACGGAAAAGATTTTTGAATTATCCAAACACTTGAATGAGATTATTTTAGGCATTAGATTATTGGGTATTGGATTCCCAATAACAAGATTCTTTTATTTTCCTTCTTCATTCAGGGCATCCAAACATAGTATGAAGTTAACTAAAGAAGCATAATGATTTTTTCATAAAATATTGTATTGTTGGCATTTTAGAATTATCTTTCTATTTTTTATGCTATGTTTGGATCCTGATTTTGAGATGGAAAGGAAAATAAAAGGGAAAAGATAGGAAAAGAAAATGAAATGAAAGAAGCTAAATTTATTTATATATTTTTGTTGGGCTAGCACAATGAGAAGAAAATGAATAGGTATTTGTCTAGATAGGAGAAACTTGGGTTCTATGAGGTGCAATAGCGATCTGACATAAGAACTTGTGTTAACTTTTTACGTATTAGACTATATGATCATCATTCAAAATGGCATTTTCATTAATTTAAGTGTAAATATTTCATATTTATAAGATATGTTTAATATCTAAGTATGAAGATATATTTTCCTAAGTAATTTAGAAAAGTGGCCGAATCTTTACGATTCATGATTTGATTCAATTCGATTCGGTACAAGGCCATTTCAATTCACAATTTCAATCTCGATTTGACAAATATTCGCGTTAATAATGACCACCATGTTAAATGGTCATAAATGTGCATATTTTATTGGCAAGCTTTTTGGGAAAAATTAAACTCTCTCTTTTGAATAAATTTGGCACAATATTTATTTAGCATTTAGATTGACTTGCGGGAAATTGACTTAGTGGCATGAAGGTTTATATATATATATACATAGACAACTTTAGTGGGATTTGGGTAATTCTTTTTTGTAGGATTTTGGGAAGCTTGGGCCATTTCTATAATTTTTAACAATCTTGTGATAAGTTGATAATTTTGCATAACCTAATTTGAGTATATATATACACATTATTTCTACAGTAGCTAGGGTTGCCTCCTTGTTTTCTTTCTTCATTTGCAGCTGTTAGAAAGAGAGCCGAGAGGGTTTGAGAGGGTGAGAAATTGCATTGAACAAAGAGGTTCCGACGATGGCTTCTAGTAGCAAAAAGTAGTGACAACGGTGGTGAGAGGAACTTCCTAGTGATGGATTTTCAATTTCCTTTGTTTTCCCGGCAGTTTTGAGGTAGGATGAAGGGCAATTAACTCAAACTCTCTCATGGTTGTATATATATGTACGAATGTTTTTTATACAATGTATATTTATATGTATGCTCTATATTAAATTCTTTAGTCAAAGTTTTGCGTTTGGTGTGCCGAAGATTGTGTGGCCGTTGAATGGGTTGCATGCACTATTATCAGAATCTTACAATTTGCAAGTCAATTCGCAATTTATGCAAAAGTGATACAAATCTATAGGTAAATCTATTTTAGGAGTGAATCTATAGTGAATCATGTTTCGATTCGCAATTTAAGTAAAATTGATACAAATCTATGGGTAAATCTATGTTTTTTATTTTTATTGGCACTGGGGTGTCTAGATCAAAGCCCGACTAATCCCCAGGAGTGCACTGGCCTTTGACAAGGAGTTTCTCGCAAGTGTATCACGGTTAGTTCAAGGGTTTCCCCCCAGTCCGTTGGCCCCAAGGAATTGTTAGCATCTAAGAGGTTTCGATTCTTGAATCTTGGAGGGAGCATGCCCCCAAGACCCAAGGCCTTGTTACCAAGCCAACCCCTTTTGATTCAATTTTTTAAACTATCGTGTCTGACGTATTTCGATTTTTTTTTCCTCCCTCTTTATAGTGAAAATGACATAATAGAACTTTAAATAATATTTAATAAGAAAATAACCAATATATATACATGATTTGTTGTTATTTTGGTGATACATGAATTTTTAATACGATCCAATCAGATTTAGTCAGATCCAATATGTTTTGATCTTTTCTTCTCATTTTTTTCTTAAAAAAAATAATCATTACATATATTTTTTAAAAGATGTTTAAAGTTAAAGTAACTTACACCATGAATTATCTATTAATATTTTATTGAAATAAATATAGTTTAATATTACATGGGTGATGTCAGTTAAACCTAATGGTTCCACAAATTCTTTTTTAAAATAATAATAAAAAATAATTTTTTGAATAAAGAATTCCAATTAAATCTTTCTTATTATTGGTTTATTGTTACTTGGAAATATATGTATGTTTATTGTCTAAATATTTCATATTTATAAGATATATATTTAGCATCTAAGTATGAATTTAGATATGTTTTTCTAAGTGATTTAGAAAAAGTGATGAAATCCTTACAATTCACGATTCCAATCCTGATTTGACAATTATGGTTGCAGGCTATGGAAAACCATGGGAGTGTGAGAGGTAGGAGAGGTCAATGGTGGTTCCTTGACGGCTATGGGTGGCCGCTGTTTGGGCCTTTGGTTATGGTTTTTCGTACTCCCATTGTGACTGCCACGGTATTCCATGAAGGGGAGTTTTTTTGGAGAAAGAGAGAGTTATGGGTAGTATGGATTTGAGGGAATTCTTGGTTGATTTGGGTATGAGAGATGATAGGGAATTGAAGTTTGCTTCTAGTGATTGGTGGTGATGTATGTAGTCAGTGGTGTGAATGGTAGCTAAGTCGGTTGGTCACCTGTGAAAGAGTGCAAGTGGTGGATCTAATAGTTGTGGGAGTTCTCATTCAGGTTTTGGACAAATGTGTCATGTGAGAGTTTAATTGCAAGAAGGAGATAGATGGTGAGTGGGTGACCCATGTGGGTGTAGTGATAGCTCTAATGATCACTTAATCAAGTAAATCAGTGTCAAATGGAAGCAAACAAGATTGAAATCTGGAAGAGAGGCTGCTGCCAGCAGCATTTGCGAAGTGTAGTTGCTGCCTGTCTGGATCTAGTTTATTCAAGTGTACACTTCTATGGTACATCCCAGCAAGCTTTTGCCCAATCGGGTGGGTTTCTAACCTTGGAAACAACCCTTCTCTAGGTTTTTCCACTCGTAGAATTTGTTTTTGATATTATTTTGTACATATTTTGAGTTTAAAATTATGATCCAGATAGGGTGATGATAGGGAGTTAAGTGACCATTTTCTTGTAAGATCAACGGTTAAACCTGATCTGATTATTGTGAAATTTTAGTATGTTGTCTATTGACTTAGACAGGTGATTTCCATGAGTAGAATGACTTGTGAAGTATACATATACTTATTTGAGGGACTTATTATTCTTATTTAATAACAAATGAAATTAAGTTAATTATTGCTGTGGGATTACAGAATAATAAAAAATTATTGTATATACTTTAGCCTCTTAGTAATTCACAGTATTTGAGCATTCTTGATATATTTATCTTTGATTTGAGGCTGGAGATGTGATGGTTTATGATGGATTAATGAATTGCGAAGTGGGATGGATTCTAATGATGTACTCTCTCTAGATGTACTTCAAATTCTAATGATGTAATAATCTATACGAGTTTACCTCTATTGCACCACATTTTAGAGGATGTAGCATATTACGTTCCCCTTATCCATGTTCTAGGTAACATAAGATTGACTAAACTGGAGTGGTTTAAGTAACAATACGTCTGCTGATGCATGTGCTTTTTCTCTTTTCTTTTCCTGTAATACTAGTTTGTGACACATTTCAAAAGTGATTACTGCAAGACAGTTTTGCACTGTCAGTCATTTGGACTAATTATCAGCTTTATTTTGCTTTGCTACATCCTTGCATGCGTAAGTTGTCTTGCTTGTGAAGAGTGTATGCTGACTGTCACTTTGCACAGTTGATAGTTTGAAGAGGCCAAGGATCTGAACCAAGTTTTCTCTAACTCCTGTTTGGGAAGCTTCTGCAACAAAAGAAACTTCATTATCCAATCTTCTAAGTAGCAAGATAATGAAGCGCAAGCGTAGTGGTGGGAAACGCAAACCAAAAATGACCCCAATGGTGGGTGCAAAGGAGGGATTTCTAAATACAGTCACTCTAAATACTCAGGATGTCTCTTTTCTGGATGATTATGACAATGCTGAATTGTACTCAAGAATGGAGACTGAAGCACCACAGAATGGCAGCAATGAGAGCAGGCAGCAAACAGGTTTACAAAATTAGTTGTAGTCGATGTGACAGTGGTAGATAGTATGAACTCATTTCCTGAAAAGAATATTGTTGTTTCAGCTAATCTGTCCAGGAATGCTAGGAGCAAAATGACTAAATCGCCAGGGGGCCTTGTTGCTTCAAGTATAAAGCCAAGTAGTAATACAAGAATTGAGACTGATGCACCACAGAACGGCAACAGTGAGAGCAGGCAGCATACAGGTTACAAAAATTAGTAGTCAATGTGACAATGGTAGATAGCTAAGAAGAACGGACACATACACATGACACGACACGGACACATGGACATACGGACACATAAATTTTCAAAAAATGCAGGACACGACACGTTAGGGACAAGTTCAAAACATATGTTTTTATATTTTTATTATATGTATATTTTTAAATATTTAATATATATTTTATGTCAAATATTTAATTTTATCAAATTTATCAACCTTAGGTATGCTATTTTAGTAAAAAAATTTAAAATTTTAATTGTTTTTGAAAAAAATAGTACTCATCGTGTCCCTAACGTGTCCTCAACGTGTCCCTTGCGTGTCCTCAGCATGCCCTAACGTGTCCATAGCCTGTCCAAAGTGTCCGAGCGTCTCCAACTTTTTTTAGCGTGCCCGACACGTGTCCGGTGCGTGTCCCTGTCTGACACGTGTCGGACACCTTTATGTGACCTCTGGAGAGGTGTCCGTGCTTCATAGGGAGATAGTAAGTATGAACTCATTTCCTGAAATGAATGTTGTTTCAGCTAATCTGTTAAAGAATGCTAGGGGAAAAATTACTAAGTCATCAAGGGGCCTTGCTACTTCAAGTATAAAGCCAAGTAATGATACAGAAGTGGTGCAGGGTGGGAGGACACACCAAAAGGATCCAAAATTACCCAAGTCGTCAAGGGGCTCTGCTTCTTCAAGTATAAAGGCAAATAGTAAAACAGAACTGGTGCAGGGTGGGAGGAGGACACATCAAAAGGATCCAAAATCAACTCTTCAAGATCCTCTATACAAAGAGCAAGAATTAAAAGCTGCACTTGCGGTATGTTGTTGTTGATATGCAACTAATGTCCATATATAGTGTAGATTTGACGACACTGGTCAAGCAAGCACAAGATTCAATTTCCCTTCATGAGATATATTTGAAGCATGCTTACTGCATTTTTACTTAATTATTAATGAATGATTTGATCCCCTCATAGGTGATTAGGAAAGTTATGAAAATGGATTCAGCTCGGCCCTTCAATCTTCCAGTGGAACCTATCGCACTGGGAATACCTATAAGTATTTTCCTTTCTTCATAGGTGTATTCGTCTACGAGCGGTCTGCTTAACTTTATGTTCATGGCTATTGAAATACTAAGTATTTGAACGCAAATGTTTGGGAGGAGAGAAATTTCCTAATTTTAGGTTTCTGGGATTGATGATTCTTGTATAGACTCTTAGGGTAGGTTAGTTCTTAAAAAGAGTTGGAGTTTATTGCTTGGGAGACTAATTCATGTGTTGTTTATATATAACTAGAAGTGTAGTCTCCCTTCTTTCGTTTACTAGCAATTGCTTTTCATTAATATTAATTTTGTAGAAAGTATATTGCTGGTATTTTGCAAATAAGATGCTAATGTTTTGCCGGAAATCTTGAAATGCAAGTAAACGAATACTTAGATTATTGTTGCTGTGTATTAAATTATGAAAAACTTATACGTTCTTTTAGTCTTTGTCAAACTTATTTTATTATATAGGCTAAAATTTAATTTAATTTAATTTTGTTTGTTTGTTTGATTTTTTTTCTTTTTTTTTGGGCGCGACTGGAACCAGGATTATTTTAATGTTGAAGTTACACCTATGGATTTTGGTACAATATGTAAGAATCTTGAAAATGGTGTGAGGTACAAGAATTCAAAGGATGTCTTCGGGGATGTGTAATATATTTGGGAAAACTGTTCTAAGTACAATGGTGAAGGTCATCATATTTCGGAGCTTATGAAGCGGGTGAAGAAAAACTTCACAAAATATTGGACAGAAGCTGGGTTATATGAAGAACAACCACGGGAGATAAATGGTAGGGGTTTCATGGTTATGCTCCTTCTTATTCCATGCATTTGGTTTTTCTTCAGTATGCTATTGCTTTCTTTGTCCCTTAATGTTAGAATTTACCAATTTGCTCCTCCACCTACCATCTCCACTAGCACCCACTTCACCTACCACCTCCACTACACTACACCTACCATCTCCACTAGCACCCACTTCACCTACCACCTCCACTACACTACACCTACCATCTCCACTAGCACCCACTTCACCTACCACCTCCACTACACTACACCTACCATCTCCACTAGCACCCACTTCACCTACCACCTCCACTACACTACACCTACCATCTCCACTAGCACCCACTTCACCTACCACCTCCACTACACTACACCTACCATCTCCACTAGCACCCACTTCACCTACCACCTCCACTACACTACACCTACCATCTCCACTAGCACCCACTTCACCTACCACCTCCACTACACTACACCTAC